CTGTTATTTGTATATGATTGACATTCTTGAGAAATGGCAGTGTAGAGATAAATTATTTACTAGCAAAAGCAGAATGCAAGAAATGTCGTTAAGAACTAAGCTTTAGAATTCTCTATAGTGAATAAGAGCTGAGCAGTGGTTTCATGCACACTCAAATAAGAGTCATTGAATATTATTGATACAGTAGAGTCCCGAAAACTCGGCCTAATGTGGACCGAAGAGTGGCAGAGTTTGTGAAAATGCCGGGTTAAAAAAGAATAAGTACGAGTGTTTCCTCAGACAATACTGTACTGTACTTGTATATATTGTTTGCTTGAGAATACAGCAGAGAATAAACTGCCCAAATACCCTTAAACAAAGGAAAAGTACATACTTTATAAAGGCATAGAGCCTTTACTACATGAAAATGAAAATTAATGAATACACTGCGTACAGTAATTTACCTGATAAGACAGACCTCAGAAAAATACTTTATGAGGCATAAAGCTGTATAATGAAAATTAACTATAGGATTTTTCGCCCTGCCAGGCTGTGGCCGAGTTATCAAGTGCCGAGTTTTTGGGACTAGTGTATTTTTTATCATTTTTTCCAATTTATTTTAATATTTATTATTATTAATACTTGATAAACAAAACAGAAATAAAGTGTAATGATAAAATTTTTCATTCAATATTCTTTTTATTTGACACACAGTTTAGAAAATTCTATTTTGGTATTCTGTTTTCACATGTTTTTATCAAATCTATAATAAATTGTTTTTCTATTTCATTTCTGTTAGCAATTTGTTAATGTTTGAGATAAATATATTCTTCTAAACTATGTACTAGTGTCATGCTTTATTATATACCTCCAAAATATCTGTTTATTCAGAGGTGTGAATTATGAAAAGGTATTATTCCATTCTAGCAATTTTTTACAGGGTTTATGCTATTGTAAGTTATCTGCATGAAATTAATCTTTTTAAAAATTTCTATTGTCATTAAAGAGAGAAAATACTTCTATAAATTTAAATACTTCAAATTACATTACTTTATTTGCAATAATTTTCTGAATATGTTTATTTTGAAATCATATTTCTCTTAAAAAATTCATTTTTAAATATTTACAAACACATACAAATTTAAATAATTTTCATATTAATCATGAATATATTTTTTTACTGTATAAAACTGTATAAAATATCTTGCTAAATTATTATAATTTTATTGCATTTAAAATTATTTGAATGCTTTGAAAAAAATCTGTCCAATATATTGAAAAACTTCAGCATACATTTAATAATTTGTTTGAAATTATTTAAACTGTATCTCTAACTGGTATCAAGCCAGTTAAAAGTTTGCATTAAAGCTAACAGTTTTGACTAGTGATATAAGTCATCATTATAATAGAATTAAATTCGTTGTATTTAAATTTTATATTTTAAGAACTGGTGATGGAAAATAACCGTATATAACTAACTATGCATTAGCTTGTATGATAGTTCTTTAACTGGTTTAAAGTACAGTTTATTTAAAAATAAACATGGACTCTGTACCATATATAATATAATATATATTGTTATTCATCAGATTTTTACAGTTCTTGAAAAGCTGGATTATTTCTGAGAAGCTTATCAGCTATAATTAATGTTTGAACTCTATTAATTTAAAAATATGAGTGTATTGAACTCTTTTAATAGTCCATTACATTGTAACAAGTTCTTTAAATTTAAAATGTACTGTATAATATTTATCAAACTCATTAGAAAGGACAGACAATATACAAATAGTCAATATAAATGTAATGAAAAATTCAAAGGAAAGAGTGACATTATATTAGTCGAATATTGCAATAATATAAACAAAAATTTCAATAAAATGTTGTTGAACATATTTAACTATTTAAATGTCTACACAGTTTATTTTTTCATATAACATGTAGAAATATCCTTCACCTTAAGAAATTGTGGTTGTAGAATAAAAAATTTTCAGATATTGTATGAAATGCTTATTCACAGTTTTGTATATTTTATAATATAGTTTTATATGTTTTGTGTGTTTCTACAGATGACTCTTGATGAGCTAAACTTCATTAAGTCTTACTATATCTATTTTTTCATTCTGATACAATTCCCATAAACTCAAACCTGCTTGTCCCTAACTTAGAATGGTTTTGAGAGCATGTTTCGCTAGCTTGAAAAATTAGAAAACAGATGAATTTACTTCATATTCAATTTCATATGTTTTTAAGATGGCATTTGATTATATATATATATATACACATTATTGATATTATTACCATTCTCTGAAATCATGACACATAAGTACTGTGCATAAGAATCTAATAATGTTTCATGCATAAAATTAATAACTTTATTCGTAAATGCAAATTGGCCAATCAAATCTTATAGATAATGATTAGAATCTCTTTTAAAACTTTTAAAATTGAATTTATAAATGCAAAAAAATTCATCTCAATTTGTTTTCATGTTTATCCCGGAGTCTTTTCTCAATAGTGTTTGCCTATCGTGTAATTTTTGCATTGGTGGTAATCAAGACATCAGGGCTCTGTTGGTATAAGATATTTTCCCATTGTATAATCTCCTTGAATAGGGAATATCATTGTCTTCTGAACAGTCTAATCGCTTTTCTCAGACACAAATTTCTTACTATAGTATTCATCATGGGACACTCAGAAGGGAGTCTAATGTAGTAGAATGATGGTGGGAATATGTCCAAATCCCTGCATTTACAAAGAAAGCTTAATTTAGACGATGTTCTCTAAAGTTTTAGAATAGATTTACGATAGTACTTGGCAGGCGAAGCCATCTTTAGTATCTCTCCAAAACTGGGATTGTATAAACACACAATGCACGAAACCAACACCAGCACTGTAAAAAAAAATTTTACTAATGTTTTCGTCTATATAAAAATATCAGGTAAAAACAATATAGAACAAAACGGCTAACAAAAATTGAATGCTTGTTTTTGAGATGTTCCAATTGATTATATAATTAGAATATATTGCATTTAAAATTTATACATTAATTTTGGGATATAATTTTAAAATTTGTATATTATATAAACAATAAACAAATGAATAATCCATTAATTTCTCATTAAGTATTACGACACAAGTATTTAAATTATCATTAATGCAAGTTTGTGTGGGCAGAATCTAGTTCAAAAATGACACGCCATGCTGTGGAGTGTGTGTCTGTTTCCTTGAAATTAATAGTGACTCCCAGTTTGATTGCTCAATAGATCTCCACTGCCTCCAGGTATTTGAAATGTGCTTTATCTGATACCCTGTGTAACAATCTTACGTCCTGCAGTTCAACCTTTACATCATCACTATCCACGTATGTTGCTAACACCATAGTTGCGAGCTTTTTTTCTTATGGAATATTCATGCTCCTTCATCCTCATGGCAAGACTTCTCACTGTCGCCCCAATGTATATTGATGAGTGGTTGACTTTGTGATAGGAAACAGGTACTGCATAAACCTCTGGAGAGTATGAGTCATGTGTAATATTTTTATCATTTCTGATGAGTGAAAAGATTGTCGGAGTGCGTTGATATGCTAAGTGCACCTTAGTAGTCCTGGCAATTTCTCTATATATATTAGAAAGTGTTTTGTTATATGTGAAGATTCATTCGTTCTTCTTGTGGAATAGTTCTGTTCCCCTTCCTTAGATATTGTTTTATGAGATGTTTGATCAAAGAGGATGGGTATCCATGTTGTGTTGCCAGGGACTTGATCTAAGACACTTCTTTTTCCTTTTCACTCTGCTCCAAACAATGTGTGTTGGCCCTTTTTACCAGATCCAAAAACGAGACTTTGTAACAATAAGGGTCATGTAAATTGTTAGGTATAAATAGAGATGAATATGACTCCTCATGGAAAACACAGGTGGAAAGATGACATTGTTCCATTTTGATGTTGATATCCAAAAAACAAATTGAGATGGATTACAAGTTCTTGGAAAGTTGATGGAGATGACCAATGACCACGTGGCTTGGTATGTTGGGTTAATATTCAACCACTGAAGGCACAAAAACTTTGCATTTTGACAGATCACTTATTTATTGGTCAATTAAATCTAGTCGTCTTCTAACTTTTCTTGAAGACTAAGCACATAAATTCAGCTGCAAAATTTGTATTCTACATTTTCATTGATACCAGTGAACAGATCAGTGTATTTGGACCATTATCATTCTGAAGTATTGGGAGACAAATGGTGAGCAACAAGTGAAAACTAAAGAAAAGGTATCCATAATTAAACTTGTAGGGAAAGGCAAAAAGAACAAATATGAAGTCATAAAAGAATATGGCATGCCATTATACTCTTTCTACCTGAGTATCTGAAAAAACAAGGAGAGCATTCTGAAAAATTTCAATGAACAATCACAATGGAATCAGTAAGAACAGAAAAAGCCTAAATATAAGTATCTAGATTTTTTTCCAAATGGTATAAATAAGTTTTTCACACTTAAGAAATAATAAAAATATAATATACTTAGCTGTATTGTTTATATCAATATATTTATATTCTTGTTAATAGTAGTAATTTCCATAATTTTAAACTGTGTTAACTCAACAATTCTTCTCTAACCATTCCACTTCAGTTTATTGTGAATCAACTGTAAATAATGTTACTTCAAATACAACTTTAAAATTCTAATAAGTTTTTATATCAATAACCAGTTCTAACATAAAGGCAAATGAAAAATATTCAATACTTATAAAAATTATTTGAACAGATTTGAAAAATGATTATCGTATATGAAGCATACATCAAAGAAACAAACAAAATTAGATCACAAATTATGCTCTTTGAACTTTGACTTCAAGTGTAAAAAACTCATTCTAATCACAGCAATAAATTTTAATTTAATCTCGAAACATTATTCTTCCACACTTCTTTAATTTTTATTTGTTTTTTTTATATTTTTAGTTTCTAATCTGAGTTAATAAATAAAACTAAGTCTTAAACCTTATTAAATAAATGAAACCATACTTGTAATAAGTTGTTATTAACATAATTCCTATTTTGAGTAAAGAAGCATTTATCCAAACCACATTGACGAACTCTTCCAGTTTCTCCAGTAAATGGTGTCCACCAAAGAATTATTGGATATTTGTTATGCCATTTTTCTCTATCGTCATCAGCTAACAAATAAAATAAAACAATAAATTAGTCACTAAAATTTTAAAAATGAACCATGTTTAATAACCATTAATGAAATAAACATTAAATATTTTTTTAATTTTTGATAATTTTACTGGAAAAATTGTAAAAATTACTATTTCTAAATATTAATAATATAATATTAAATCAATAAAAAAAATACTTAAATTTATTATTAAACAAAATGAAATTTTTAATTTTTTGAAAACAAATAAACTGTCTTAAATAAAATTAAGAAAATATTTTAAATAAAATTTAAATAAATTAAATCAAAACTTCAACATTTTAATCATGTCATATGTAAAAATATTTTATTATTATTATTATTAATTAACTTTGAACACATTCCATTAAATAGCAAATTATCAAAATATTTTATTGGTTGATAAAATGAAAATAATACAAATATCCTGTTAATTTCCTATTTTTTTTATGTAAGGCATATTTGTTATCAGAGGATTTCCAAAGATTATTATTACTACTACTACAAATGCCATTCAATTAAACTACACAATTGAAACATTAATTAGGTTTTCAGATAACTAAAAATGTCAATTATATTAAATGAAACTGACAAATAATATAATGGTTATTCATACATTTGTAATTAATTAAAATTATCCAGAAACATTACCTATTTAGAATAAATATGTATCTGAAACTATAAATAATTTAATATTTTTTTCTGTTTAACTGTATGGAATGTTTTGATTTCAACATGTTTTGAAATGTATTTTTAAACATTAAAAATTCAATATAAACATAATTTATAATATACAATAAAAAGTAGTTAATGAATAATTCCCTCTAATTGTTAATCAAATGGATGGTGATTTTGAATTAAATGAAACCTCCATCAGAAGGGTTTATATTTGAATGATGTTTCCTAGTTCGAATGATTTGAATCCTTACAGTGTATAAGTAGAAATGGCAACAGTCAGATGGCCAAGGCAGTAAAGGTATCAGCCAACCATTCTAGGAGACCAAGAATCAGATATGAATAAGCAACCCCGGGAATTTTTCATACATTATCTGTTCACGATATGTCAGACCCCATCTCTCATCATCCAACCACCCATTATAGGACTGGCAAAGTGGTCATGTTGATATGATTAAAAAGGCCCTCTTAGTACCCACAGAACAAAGAAAAAGTACTTTTTATTTATAATATTTATGGATTTCTAGTAAAGAATTTTTTAGATAAAATTTACCATACTAATCTTACACATCAGAAGAATATGTTATACATTTTAAACATAAACAAACATAATTTAGAAAAAGTTTTTTTTTTGCTTTAGTCTTTATTTAGCAACAGGGCAATTTGTAATACAGGTAACACCCGTATAACATGGCACTTCTATAGCACAGATTCACTCTAATGTGGTTTGAGAATTGGGAACATCCCCATATAACACGGTGGTTTTATAGCACGGGTTCACTCTAACATGGTTTGGAAATTGGGTAAAATCCTCGTACAACATATAATGTAATAAAGGGTGCGTTCTTTTATACCTCCGCATAACTTTGTGCGAGCATTCTAATTGTTTTCGTGGCTACTTCGAATGCTCTTTCAACAAATAATCCATTTAATAGTTAAATTTTACAATTGGGACCCTTCTTTTGCCTTTAAAAGCTCATTTTGGAATTATAGATTCCTCCATCACGATACTATTGATAGTGCGGGCGCCACCATCTTTCTTTCACCGTCATTCCTAAATGCCTACAAATAGCAGCAAACTCCCATTGCAGAGCAACTGCTATTAACGAACGCACCCAAAAACTGTTACCGGTTGATGATGCTCACGCTGAGATCATCATATAGGATGAATAATCCTCTGGTAAAATATTTACTTAAATAATAAATAAGTATTTTACCTATGAGAAAATGAATAATAAATCCAATTTAAATAAGGATTTAACAACACGTTTTTTAATTTTTGGAACCTAATCCCCCTTTTCGCACTAGTTCTTTGTTTCGTATAACACGAACTTGCATAACACGGCAATTTTTTGGAATGTAACCCCCGTATAACACGGGAGTTATGTTCCAAAAAATTGCCGTATTATGCGAGTCCGTGTTATACAAAATTATTCAAATGTGTATTTCAAAATTATTAATTCTATTTCCTGTACAGTCAGATATTTAAATCCTTCTGACATTTGCAACACACATACTCAAAAAAAATTATATAAATTTAATTAATTTCACTATTACTTACCAAGTTGTATATTTGATGACAATTGTTGCAATTCAAAATCTTCCAACTATGAAAACATTTAAATTAAATTAAAAAACTTATCACTAAGTAAATTCAATAAAAATTTAACAAACTTACCAAATATATGACAAATATTCCTTGAAGAATAAAGATAAAAATTGCCAGGCAACACATTAAAAAACTCCATCTTCTACATATTGTAAACATCTCCTTACTAAAATATGTAATTAAGAATTTTCAATATAATTCATGGTATTTAATAAATTTCGGTTTGTTTTTTCATTTTGAATTATTCCTTTCAAAAAATATGAAAGTTATTACGTTTAATCGCACAAACTTCCTCTCTCGTGGAAGTTTGACAGTCCTTCACACAACATATGATACATGATTTTAATAGATCCAATAGTAGCTTGCTTACTTGTCGCCCTCTGGCGGTGAAGTTAGGCGTTAGCTACGTTGGCTATTTCTCCCCGGGTGATTGTTATTGGCCCGAGTGGAGTTGGATTGATCCAATAGTAGGACTTCTTTTTAATATGGGAAGTTGGTAGTAATTACGTCAAGTAGTAATTACTAGCGCCAAAAAGAGCCTAGCGGCAAGTGTGGAAACCTGTTAGAAATTTGTATTAACTGAAAGCGAAATAAAAGAGCAGTTTGCTTACATTTTACGTAGATTACGCCGTTTCGATAATTCGCAATTATATGAAAGAATTTTTAAATTATTTTTCACAATTTTATTAATTTAAATATCGAAATGAGTCTATTCCAACCTCAGTTCTAAATATTAAATGAAATAAAGCTTCATACATGTATTATATAATCAAACATTTAATGTATTATTCTTTCATTTTACACTTGAATTTAAACATTTAATAACTTATGGGTACAAAATTTACTTAAAAGGCCACGTAATTTCCAGTTATTGATATAATTATTATATAAGGGCCGTCTATTTATTACGTGTAAAGTTATTGATCACCTTTCTGTTGTTTACAATGGCGTATTTTTTAAAAACTCCTCTCGTTTAATTATATGTACTGGACTCCCGACATTGAAGAAATGACTTAAAAAGTCCTGCAAATATTTTCTGATAGTTTATTTACAGAATAGTAAATAGTAAGGTGGTCGTTTCATTTTACGAATATAATATCGGTGCTATGCGATGGGCCTCAAAGCTATCAATGGTTTCTTGCAATCATCGGCGATGGATCGATGTATTTTTAAAACTATTTCCGCCTTGTGGGCACTAAGATGGCCTTATTTAGCAAACCCATTATGAATTATAGTTTCCGGCCAGGCCCACAATTGGGCGGCGGGATGGTGAGAGACGGGGCCCGATGGGCCACCCGCAAAAGTTTCTGGGAATTTTTCGACCCGTTCGGATTCGATCCTGGGTCTAGCAGAGCGGTAGGCTGTTACCTTAGCCTCTCGGCTATTCGGCTGTCGAATGAATCGATGATTATGTTGGCTATAATCTAGACTTTACACTCTTCCGCTGTGCGGGCACTAAGAATGTATATACATACATTTAAGTGTCAAACATGTTCGACCAGATCCCAATGGAGGCAATCGGATGACGAGGGATGGGCCCGACTTATCCGGAACAAACCACCCATTAAAGAGGGCCGGATGGCTTGCTAAAAGAGGCCGTCTTAGTGCACACAAGGCGGAAAGAGTTAAAAGACCAAACTAGCATCTATTGAAATCGCAACATTGTTTCATCATATTTTTCGACTATTTTATTTATTAGCTTTATGTATAAGTTTAATTTATATATAAAACGTTAATATTATTTGCAAAAATTAATAAATTATAATTATTATATACTGTATGTGGATAGAGTCGGGAAGCAAGGCGAAACACGGGTTGCGCCAACGCCACTAGGTGGTGCTGGTCGAGTTATCGAAGGCTAACAGGGACGAAGTTTCTAATAATTATTAATTAATAATAATTATAGTTATTACTATATTTAATGCTTTAAATGTTTTTCTAAGAATATTTCAATAAAGATAATTGCGTAAAACTTTTTTGGTATATTTTTTAAAAAATATTCATAAATATCTAAATATTTAGTAATTAAACTTAATCACACCATCATTAGGAAAGAAATATTTCTTATAAAGAGACGTTAAAAGGCAGCAGACTCATTTCCAGCCTCATGTATAATTTTTGGAATGAGACTTTTTCAGTCTCTTTAATGAAAAACAAAATTAAACAATCAGAAAATTTCTTTTAACGGTGCTTTTTGGTAACATGTTTCGCATTCCTCAAACGTGAATCATAATGACACCGGACAGTGCCAAGATTCGGACTTTGAGTTGAGATCGTCCATAAATTATGTAACGCACCTTCTTAAGGGGCTGTCCAACAATTTCGTTCGCATGTTTCTCGAAATGTTTATTCCCCCCATTGTCCAGTAATTGTATCCGGCGAATATTATTGATATTAGTTTTACACTCTACGTATTTCATTTGTTGAGAAAACAATGGCTGAAAGGACTTGTTTTAATCTTGGGCCAACACAAGTTTTCCATGACTCTGCGGAAACGGCTTCTGACTGTAAACTTAATTATAGTTGAGATATTTATTGTATGAATGTATCGAAACAGTGTCTTCTTTTTCTTGTTTGGTTCAATGTCACGACTGGGTGAATTCATACACACTTGGATTATTTTAGAACTTTGTCGAGACGCGTTTCGGCCCCTCTTCGGTCGACTACGTAATAAAGTATAAATATAAATTTCTTATATTACATAATATTCCATTATGATAATTAAAGACATACCATTATATCCTGGAATAACATATGGCGATCGAGAATACCAATACGACTCGGAATAACATATATACCACAACCGAAAATACATCTAGTTCACTGTTGAATACAATCAGTTATTAAAACCTTAGCAATTAAAACTATGTTATAAAAGATTTTTTTTTTTTCAAATAAAACCTTCCTTACTTTGAGGTGTTTTTGCAAGTAGATTATAGAGAGGTTGCGGCCGACGTTTTCATCGCGAAAACGTGAACGTCGGATGTTCGGCGCCGCCTTCCTGTAAGCCTAGAAGTTTGACAATGGCGTTTGATACGTCGAGCATGATTCCACTGACATCCAAACACCATTGTTAAACTTATAGACGTACAGGAAGACGACACTACGTCCGACGTACACGTTTTCGCGATGGAAACGTCGGCCGAAACCTCTCTTATATGTTATTCTTACACCAGACATCTTTCAGGCACTTTCTTCACCACAACCACCTTTCTTTATCTGGCTATCTTGTCGGTTGCTGGCGAATATTCCTTGTACGTTGAACTTCTCAATGAGTGTAATGTAGTCTTCAATACGACGAAACTTTGCCAGCCTTATTTCGCATTTACATATGGCATAGATCACTTTATTTACATATTCTCTTTTGGGATATTACATTTTTTTTTAATAATTGTAGCCAATTTTTATGAATTTTTATGCTTTATTCTAGAACAGTGTTTTTCAACCTTCTCGAATAAGCGACCCCTTTACAAGTTAAAAAATTCTGGCGAGCCCCCAGGGCCATATTTAAACTATATCAGTGATTTTAAAAACTACGTACAGTATTTAATTTTCTTTCTTTAAATATCGATCGAAAAATCAATTATACTGTAAAATAAACAGGCAACAGCCTTCTCAACGAAATTCTAGTTTTTTTTTTTTTTATTGTAGTGTAGGACCTACAAACACTTGTCTTTTCTTACACCCGCGACTCCCCCTGGGGGTCGCGACTCACAGTTTGAAAAACACTGTTCTAGAACAATCCACTCACGTAGTTTAAGTTTTTATTACAATAATAAATGAAATGATCGATCGATATTGAATTATTAATTAATAAAATAAAATTTTAATTTGTTTTTTTCAGTTTAAATTTTATTCCTAATGCCTCTGGGTGGGATCTAAAACACGTATCACCCCTATACGTACGCCACATACCAAGCGGATTTGCCTAAATTTCGATAAATGTTGAAAAATCAAACGAATAACCACGGTGTCGACCCCCCTATAACACTGTTGATTATTCCGTTTTATACGAATTCCATGTTGTACGAGTCACTTAGATTTTACAAATACGTGTGCCAGGCTGTGAACGGCTCACGTATTTGTAAAATCTAAGTGACTCGTACAACATGGAATTCATATAAAACGGAATTATCAACAGTGTTATAGGGGGTCGACTTGAATCAATCTAAATCATAGATATCGATTTTTAAAATCTACCATAACAGAATTTATAAATTCGACTTTTGAAAATTTTTAATGCCATCTATTTAAGACATTCTGAGGTTACAATCAGTCTTAAATATAAAATTATTTTAATTTTTGCACATTCCACAATTGTGTTTAAATTTCTAATATTTATGCAATGTTCCTATTTTTCTGCATATCGTTGATAACGTAATCTTCCAAATAAAATATTATAGACAAACGAATACTCTTATCGTATTTTATTACGATACGATTTTCAAATTAATCGTCGGCGAAAATTCCGATTATAGATTAAAAATTACGAATATTTTAAAATTTATTTCAACGTAATTTACAAAACTGTTGTTCAGCGCCATCTACGAAATAAGAAAAGTTTTATACAAAATTTACGTGTACGTTACGTCATATTTCTTGTAATGTCGCCTTATCATCTATACGATAAAAGCACAATAAAGTATTTTTAAATCGGTAGTCCAATTAAATAATTCCTTCCACATTTTATTCGATAACGACGACGAATAATTGCGTAAATCGGTATTACAAATGAACGATACGCGGCACGCGATTAACAATTCCGGTCAGAGAAAATTCAAAGTCACGAGTGTGTGACGTAATGGGAAACTTAGTATGACGTCACTTGGCCTATATAGGGGTGGAACTTTACGCAACATCTTGCAATACGGTACTCCCCTTAGACACTTGCGGGTGTTTTGCTACTTCTTAGCGCTTTAAGGATATAAAGTTGGGACCTCCCGTTTTATTCTTCTAAACGTAAGTGAATTATTTCGACAATTTTTATTAATGTCTACCCGTGTTTACCGCACTAATATTGTTCTTAGTATGTCACCGTCCCGTTTATTCGTTGTAATTAACATTTATGGTCGCGAATAATTAATTAAAACGCGACGAAATTACGCGAGCGATAAACGGCATTATGTTAGTAATTTCGAAACATATTTCAATCCGGCACACGAAGTAATAAAATTCTTCATTAACTCGTGACGTCGCTAAAATGAAAATTTACGTATCGATGTTTCGTCAGCTTTTAATGCGTGTAATTTTTTTTTTATAAAATACAATGACATTGTATTTTAGGTGTTCCAACAATAGCCATTTTTAAATAGGAATATAAGTGTTCTCTCTAACACAGACAAAGTAGCCATCCTTTTATTTTTTATCTTATCTGTTTACACCTTTTTAAAACTGTTCAAAGTACACGTTCGGAGAAACGAAACTATTTTTCTCTGTAGCTGGGTTTTATAGCTTTCGTTTAAAATTGTAGATGAGCGGTTATCCTCCTCCGTACCAACAGTACCCGCCCGGACCTCCGCCGCCCGGAGGATGCTATCCTCCCGGAAGCAATCCCGGCGGCTACTATCCGCCTCCCGGTCCTCCTCCGCCGGGAGTCTATCCGCCTCAGGTTCCTCCCGGCGGAGCTTATCCTCCGCCCGGTCAACCTGCCGTCACCACCGTGTAAGTATGATCAATTGTTTAATATTGGAAGGTAATATTATTCCTCTGGCTTATTTGAAGCTTTCTATCAGCAGAGTCGTAGAAGAGAAGAAAGACAACGACTGTGCTCGAGACTGCTGTTTGTGTGCTCTTTGCATGGCCCTTTGTTGTTTCTGTTGCAGTGATTGAAGACGTCTAATTTTTAAGTGAGTTCGAAATCAAACTTGAACCGAAGTGCCTTTTTGTGTTGTATAGGAACGACCCGTAATACTTTGTAATATGTATATTGGAAACTATTTTTGCATTCCAGGAAGATCAGTTGTGGATTTTAATATTGTATATTTAAAAGTTATTTAATCATTGTTTATGGATTATACGTAATTTTGTTAAAGATTTTATATCTGCATATGTTGTCACCAATATAAAACTACAAGGCAACAGTATACAGTATAGGGGAACCAATTATGTAAAATAAATTTTTATTTAATTGATTTAATTTAGAACTTTTGTATGTGTAACTCAATTTTTATAGAAATCTAGAAACTGCATTTAACTTTTTTTTTACTTTTTATTTGCTAAAATCTTAATTTTTAACACTACTGAATAAAACAGTTTCCAAACTACTGTCAGTTTATACATTAAAACATTCCCCCCTCTATGAAGTGAATGAATGCAAATAAAGTAACTTTCTAATGGCCGAATTCAAAAATCTATTCAAAAATAATTGAAGAGAAGTAAATTTTTAGTAGACTTATTCCAATAATTCAATTTACTTAGATCAAATGCATTTCAATAAATTTGCACCTTTTTTAATGCTATCAAAAGGGAAATTTTGCTTACAATTAAAATTCACTTCATCTGTACAAAATCTTTTTTACAACTGTCATTAAACATGTTCAAATGTCTGAATGCAAAAAAATTATCCTGTGATCAAATTAACTTTAAACTTTTTTTTTTTTCTGACTGCTTTGAGTTTGTCAATTTGTTTTGTATGATCATTTCTTTCAATCTGTGATCCACTAATGGATGAGTGAATAAAAACAGAACAGTAGTAATTGGTGCTGGGTCTGTGTGTGACAGACAGGCTGGTTCATGTGGTACTTTTCTGGATTTTGTGTATCTAACACCTAAAAGGAAGTCAGTTTCCCATTCAAAGTACTTCTGGAACAGACTTGGAATTACAGAATAACACATGGGCAATCATTTCAACATGAAAGTTTTTACATGCCATTTGGCATTAAAAGGTAGAGGTATTTTTGGTGTTTAACTGAAAGTAAACAAATTGTACAAATACATTAAACACACAAACTTCTTACTAGCAAAATTTAAACTTGGTAATTAATTTGCTTATAAGTTACATCAGTTTTTAATGGCTGGATCCAAAAATATAGTCCACACGGAAGATTATTGTTTTAGATTTTTTGGGAGTGCATCTACCATGTAAAAACAGAATTGAATGTGTTTAGTGATGGTTGTCAGAAGTTTCAATTATTATTTAAACTTGCACAAAAATATTTATCAACTAAAATTTTATTGCAAAATAATAAATCAGTCCTATTGTTTATCAAATTAGATAAACATTCTAAGTAACAATTTATTTACATGTACATGGTCTTGAAATTCCTTTTTACTATTTGCTTTCTTCAAATTCTTTCCTACATTAAGAAAATAACTTATTACATAAGTTATTTAAAAAAAGAAAACCACAAAGACAAACAAGGATTTACCTTTCTTTTAAAACTACAAAAATGCAACACCTATACCAAATTGCATACCAGGATTTGTCCTAAAAAAAATTAACTATTTTAGATATAAACATTTTTAAAAATCATCTTAAATGCAGTTATTCCTACTTACCTGTCTTCATTTTGAAATTTTAAAGGCAAACAATAATTTAGTTCAAATCGTGCTATGTGACCAACTGAAATTACTATTCCGGCACCACATGACAATCTAATATTAGAAAACATTCTTTTCCAATCTGGATAATTATTTTCACCTATATAAATACAATTATTAACTGTTAATACTTTATGTAGATTATTATGTACACTAAATATTCAACAAAATATCTTAATCTTTCCACTCTTCACATGATTTACATTGATCCCATTTCTCAAAACTTCATGTCTTGCTGATATCTCCAAAAAGTCATATAATCATAACACGCAGAATATTTATTGCTTTTTTTTTGTTTTTTTATCATACTAATAAACACTATTGGTAAAGTTGCATAATTAAAAACCTGTAGTTTAATGCAGTTTGATTTGTATTTCAAAGAATTATTATTTGCCTAACAATAAGTTCCATTATGTTTTGATTTGTTTAAATAATATAAATTCCAGATAGATTTATTGCCAAAATATTTATTAAAGTTATACAAAAGACTATGAGAATCTATGAATGTTTTTAATTTTATTTGAATTTGTGTTCACAAAGACTTCAAAGCAAATATGTTATAGTTAAACTTAATTATTTTTTTACAGTTTTTCTTTGTTCAATATTTATACTTCTATGAAAGAAAAGTTGTATGGTTTAATGGATGTGAAGTCAAGCAGCTCATCTAAGCAATAGAATTTTCCAATCAATAAAGATACAGAATTCTATTTCTTAAAATTCATAAAATTTATTTACTAATAATTACAGTGTATATTATCTAAATATATAAAATTGCTTGTCCTGACTGACTGACTGAATGACTCACTCACTGATTTATCATTGCCCAGAGCAGACCGCTTAACCTAAAGAGGTGAAATTTGGTAGACAGTTAGGGTACGTCATGGAAATGCACACTAAGAAGGGATTTTTCGTAATTTCCTTGCGGGAGGAGAGGGGGAGGATTAAGGCTTAACCGGAAGAACGGCTTCTACTGCGCTATTTTAGATGCGATTTTTTGTTTTTATCTGCGTTGTAGTAGGGTATGCCATGAGAATGTGTTCACTAAAAAGGGATTTTTAGAAATTCCCCCGCGGGGGGTGAGGGAGAGGATATAGTCTTCATCGAGTACTTAGGTGTATTAAATTAATAACATTTCAGACATTGTTATAAATATTTTTATCCATTTCGATTTTAAAAATGTTCAAACCGTTTTAAATTCAAATTTGTTATTGCATATTGGTTCTATTATAGAACGATTGTAAACGTTCCAGAAAATTGATCAAATTGAAAATAGTTCGTTTGATTCTCTGCAATTCTCTTCAGCGGTAGGTGTTATATAACAATTACTATGGTTATTGAAATATTGAATGTAAATGGGGTTTGCTTGCAAAACCTTCGCGTACAAAGTCGCGGGTAACAGCTAGTATATATATATATTTCCACAATTAAAACCTAATGGTTTATTTTTAAAATGTATGTATTCCCATGGTTTATTACCTTGCAACAGGAGATAATTAAGTAAAAATTGATAACAAACGTTAATTACTTGCACGTTTTTAAACTTCCTAAAACAATTATTGACTGTATTTATGGGTTACAGCTATATAACATTTGAAATAATTGCTGTTTTTATAGTAAACCCAATTCAGTGTCTTCTGATTTGGTTGTTACATTATCATTTGTATCCATTTTGATGTCAGAATCAGGATTTTGCTACCAACATCTGGTTCAAACTCGTCTCCAATTTAAGTTCTCCTAATTGACTAATGAGCTCTTCACTTACAAACTCAATTGTGACTTTCCTATGTACAATATTAGACTATATAATTTTATTTCTGAGAATGTTTCCATGAACATTGCAATAGAAAGTGCTGTCAGACTACACAATTTAAGAGATAAGAAATTTTACTAAAATTCTATCTTCACTTCAAAGTAGGAAATAACATAGTTTAAAGTACTTAAACTGAGTTGAAAAGCATAGAAACATGTTAATTTTTAATTTATAACAATTGAATTTAATTTAGAAAGGTTTTAAGCCTTAATACTAATCTGAAAACAGCTCATTAGTAATGGAAGTACTTGATTCTATTATATATTTTACTTATTATTTGTTAATTGCTTAACTGCAAATTACATAGCCTTCGTCGATATTTATATTTACAACTTAAAATGGTGATGATGGTTAAACTTGGAAAGTTGAGGTGCAAATTTTATTTAAAAAGGACTAAAAAAGTGCTCCTAAAAAAGTATAAAACTATCATTTTATTATGCATAAAAGTTACATAGAACAAACAAGACTTGAGAAATTGATAGAGAGAATTTGAATCAGTTACTTTTGAAATCTGATCTGTTTCATAGTTTACAAACAAAGGCATTGTACTTGCGTGCAATCAACTGTTCTACATTCTCCATTGGTCAGCTGCAGATAGCGCAGTGAAAATAAATTTCTCAAGATCAATAGATGTAAGAGGAGCTTATTTGGTTTTCATTAAAAAATCCCAGTTTTGTGATTGAAAAGACTTGAGGATCATATTTGAATGACTGGACTTTTGACAGGAAGTATTAGTTTCTCTAAAGCAAATCCATCTAACCCACCAAAAGTGTTTAAAAATCTCCCGCTGCATCTCAGCAGTGTGCTTTCCTCAAGCTTAGAAACTGAACTGCACAGGAATGAACAATATAGAGTTCCTTTAATGTGGGCTTGTTATTTCAACAGACTCAGACTTTTCATCCAGTTTATCAAGGAATGCTCTCATAAAAGAGAAATTTTTGACAATCGGGTGTGGATTCAAGTTGCTTGTTTTTATTTCAGAGTGTTTTGGGAATGGCAAAGCAGTTGTGCTGCAAATGTAGATCTATATGAAGAGTGATAATCATTTCTGAAATGAAATCATTGGCCCAAAAATATTCTACCCTAATTGCTGGATGTATCTCAGATTTGAACATATCAACTGCATGTACAGTAATACCCCGAACTTACGCGATAGGTGGGACCAAGCGATAACTGCGTAAGTCGAATTTGCGTAAGTCGGAGTATAATTTTGCAATTTGTGTAAACTCCAAGTCGGATGTATGTAAGCTAATAAATGTTCTCGTTAATCTACTCTCGTCTTTTGATTCGTTCACGGTTACAAGAAATCACCACATAGAGTCTCTCAAGTCTCCGTAGATATAACAAACACAGAAATAAATAACACAAAATAAATTGTAGCTATGTGTCGATTCTGCGCTACACGCCTGAACATGTAAGCTGAACAATAGTGTGGGGGGAGTGAGTAATCAAAAGTTGCGTGGCGCTCAAACAAAAGACGAATCGACGAGATTTGAAAATCGCGTAAGTTGGGGTAGCGTAAGTCGAGGTATCACTGTACTTAGCAAGTTTGGTGACTGGTCTGTTACAAGTAACCAAATCTTTTCATATTGAATGGCAGAGTTTCACAATTTGATACATGCATTATTGAAGACCTGCATTAATAGTTATGAATTAAAGAAGACAAATTCCACAAACTGGCTCCCGTTAATGGACCAATAAGAATGTTCAGCATGTACCTTTTTAGCATATCTTTTGTTTTATTCAAAATAGTAGGAAACAACTCAGTTTTTTTTTATTTCCTGTATTTATTTAAAAAGCTGTTTCATATGCAGCAGGTTGCACATGAAGCAACTTTCCTTTGCATGCTTTGGTCAGGAATTGAGAGCTTTGTATACATTCTAGAAAGTTTCTGAATGCTGGGTGATTTATTTTAAGAGCAATTCCTAACCATGATAAAGCTGTAGCTAGTTTACATTCTACTTGCTTGCACTGTCCTTTGCAAAAAATTTAATGATGCCAAAATAAAACTCTGTTCCTTCTTCACATTCTTCTATCTTTCCCTGTTGCAAACATGTTTTTCATATTTAATGTGCTGCTTAACCAGTAATGAGAGATGCTTTTAATACAACTCTATCATAGTTCATATCTCAAAATACTATTGCCAGTCATAATTCATTCATCTTTAAACTTATTTACTAACTCCTCTGGCATTTTTAAAAATCAAAGTCAAAACTAAAGATATCAATAAACTTTTGTATCACAACCAGTCATAACATCCCTCTCCCACATTAACTATGGAATCATCATCATTATTTTATATTAGTGATGTTTGAAGTCATGAAATCTGTAATTGATATAATTCTACATCAATAATGACTATTTCAATATAATGAAGTAATTTATTCTAAAGTTGTTTTTCTGTTTCTAAGACCTAAACTAAAAAGTTTATTAATGCAAGATTTTAAAAAAACTATGAAGAAACATTGACTAATACAGTATTAGGACCAATACAGTAAATAATATATATATATACTTACAATTTAATAAAAAAAAAAGTGCAAAACTTTGTTGGAAAGTAGAGATAACAAATGGAAACTGCCTACTGCTTATGCTGTTTTTAAAATCACCATTGGTCAAAACTTTTTTTTCTTACCAATCACAGAAAGAAATTAAAAAATTTTAGGAAGGATTAATTTGCAAATTTGCTTACAGTTGAAATTTCTCTGTCAATCAAAAGCATAATTTCAATTTCCAAACATTAAATGGGTACAAATCCAAGCATTAGAAATTGTTTAACAGTTGATACTGGAATCAAACTTAAAAAGTTATTAAATTTTTAATTAATAACAGATTTATAAATAGAAAAATGCACAAAACACTCAATTTATTTCTAAGTGCAAAAAAAAGGGAAAAGGTATCAAAAAGCAGTGAAGAAAGGAAAACTAGCATCTCTCGAGATGATCATAAACTTAATAAAGAACTATCCTATGATACTTTGAAACAGTGCCTTGTGCAAATAATGAAATGGAGAGCACCACAACATTCCAACTTGAGGTTGTCAATTTATCATCATTAATTTTAAAACATTAAGTAATTCATAACTTTTTGCATTTTCTTCTTATTTTCAGTATCTAAACATTGTTAAATGAGATCAGTTATCAAAGAGAAACTTTAATTTTAAAATGCATAAAAAACTGACTGAAATGAGATCCTTGTAAAAATGTTTTTACAAGAATCTGATTCAGGAAAGACTTTTTTAATAACAACTTGTATTAATTGTGGGCAGGAAAGATCCTCAAAGTAAAGTT